ACCCCAAACCCTAAACCCTAGACAAGCCAAGCCAGACCTTGCAGGCTGCCTGAAGCTCACGCGTCAGAGCCGCCACCTCCCGGGAGACTGATCGAAGTTTGGGGTCTATAGGGCTTAAGGTCCCGATAGGGCCCTCGTTGTTGGGGGTACGGGTTCCTTGTAGGGAGTTCTTTTGGGCTTGCTATCAACCTCCCTTCAGCACATAAGGGCTGAACAAGCTGTAGGGCTGATTAAGGGTTTCGACTTGCTGAAGCTGGTTCACAAGCCGTGTCGCATGATGTCTTCTTCAGCGCTGTTACTGCCCTATCCTCGGAACAGTGAGACTAGTGACACTGGACATCGCAGCAACGCCTTACACCCACCTTAAGCATCGGAAAAGAACCTGTGCTACCTTCATGGTCATACCCTAAACCCTCATAGACACCCCATATCTCATAAACCTAGTCCGAGACCGCCCCTAACGGCAAGATCTCCCCAACCCCAAACATCCCAAGACCGTGCACCTAAACCCCAAACCCTAAACCCTTTACATCCTGCAACCCCCGCCCAAACCCAAGCAGCTGCTTCTCAAAAGTCTTGGGAGCCAGACACGGGCCCTGACTTGCGATGACCCCAGGGCCCGTGAGATGGGCCCACCTGAGCTTCTCGGTGGTCGCTTCAGTTTAGGGCTTAGGGTTTGCGCTTTTAGGGCTTCAGGGTTGTAGGGGTTCAGGGCCTTGGGCCTTGAGGGGTTTAGGGCTTAGGGCTTAGGGTGCAGTAGAGAATAAACAGTGTACAAGGAAGCATGGAAATGTGTAGATTCGTGGGTACAGCAGACGACTGCAATTTCATGCCATATAGCATGGTACACTAACCTGCAAGATGTTGCGAGCAATTCTCAGCCAACAACCGAATACGCACACTCTACACATTAACCAGCATATTTTTGTGTTAAACTGACTTAAACTCTACCCAATTGAACTCCAGCTAATTTGCACAAGAAAAGGATTCCAGTGCAGGGATCATATACAAGTCGTCTGACAACGATGGGCGGCAACCCGTCAACACTAAGAACCCTCAACCCTAAACCCTAAAACCTAAATCCACTCAGGTTCTCACCGGCCATCCATGGCTGGCAGAACTGCGTCGGCTACCGCAGCAGCACTTCCGGGGGGCTTAGACGCAGAGATCGCTCCAAACTGGGGGCCTTCCATGGCTGCGCAGGGTCAGTGCTTTAGGGGTTTCGGGCTTTAGAGTTTAGGGGTTAAGGGTTTAGGGGCTTAGGGCTTTAGAGTTAGGGGTTTAGGGGTTTAGCGCTTTAGAGTTTTGGGGGTTTAGGGGTTTACGGGTTTAGGGGCCTCGGGTTTCAGACGTCAGGGAAGCCAATGGCACTTCCAAGACCATAGCTGCAGAGGCTTCGGGCAGTTTCTCGCGGATTGCTTAGGCTTGTGCCATGCGTCCAAAATGGCATAGTGGGCTAAATGCCGTATGCGGGAGAAGGTAAAATTGTCGCCCGAAGGAAACTTGGAGAGGTCTCCTTGCACCTTTCAGTTCTGACCATTCAAACTCTTGCCAGAGAGCTGCCACTGTGTATTCAGGTCAAGCAGGTTTTAGATTTCGCTTTGCCCAGATGCACCTTCCTCGCCAAGTTCTGGGGCAGTCTGTGGATGAGACTCCGGAGCACAATTCACGGAGTCGATCTTCTCACGCTGTAATCAGAGTTCGCTTCGGTAGGCTATCCGCGAAGATCTAGGATTTCAGGCACAGACTCTTCAGATGGTCCTTCAGGAGACCATCTGGGAGGGCACTACAGCCAGGGCCAGGGGCCAAGCTCTAAATGGACTGGCCAAGTGACTACCCGCCGCGGCTCTCAAAGACCCAAGAGTCCATTGACTAGTTCGTGTGAACTTCGGTTGCCAAGAAAAGGTGATTTCAGAAATCCCAATCCAACTTCGGTGTCTTGCAAGACCCACACGCGGGCGGAAAGTATTGTGCACAGCGTCAGGACCGCGTGCAGGGATGGCTTTGTTAACACCTGCCTCAAGCTGCAGACAGCGGGCACTGGGGAACGAGTCCAAAAGTCAGCCGGAATCACTGGCAAGGAACCAATGCGAGCAAAACGAAATGATCCCGGCACGCAAATTCGGAACCACTCCACCCTAAGATTGAGATCCAGCTGCAAAGGGTCTAAACCCCAGGGCGTCCTAAACCCGAAAAGCCCCGAGATAGACCCCTGGAAACCCTTATGAGACCTCAAAAAACCCCTCATGGGACCCATGGAACACTGAGAGAAGCCTTTCAAAGCCTAAATGCTAAACCCCAAAGCCTACACCCTAAACTTGTAAACCCCCCGAAAACCTGAAGCCTTTCAAAAGCATCACAAAAACCTCTTTTTGGGGCCCCGGCCCTAAGCGCAAAAGGCGCTGTCTCCAGCTTTTCGCAGGATGTCGACCTGAATGTAAAGATATATGAGTATGGTTTAGGGTTTAGGGTTTAGGGTTTAGGGTTTTGGGTTTTGGGTTTAGAAGGGTTTATATGAGTTTATAAGGGGTTTATAAGGGTTTAAGGTCTAGGAAGTCGTAGGAATTAGGGCTTTGGGGTTTAGGGCCTTTGGGCTCAAGGCTTGAGGGTCAGGTTTTGATGTGTTGCTTAATCGCATCGCTCTTATTAACCGGTCTTGGTGATGAGGGCTTTAGGGCCAAAACTTAAGGGCAGAGAATCCGGTAGTAGACCCCAGACCTACTGAAACTATCGGACGTTTCTGCAGGTGCAAATGTGCCGATGGGATGTATTTAATTTCCTGGGATTCTAAGCATCTGCGGATGCGCAGTCGGCGCCCTGCGGGCTGAGAGTTCCCCCGAAGCCCCTGGAAACGCAGGGTAAGTCTCTTGAGGCACGGGCGACGGACTTGAAAGCGAACCACTCTGGGATCTCCTGGCAGAACACCAACCGAAGGGCTTTAGGGTTAAGGGTTTTAGGGTTTAGGATTTTAGGGTTTAGGGTTTTAGGGTTTAGGGTTTTAGTGCAGATCAGGAATTTCACAGCTCCAGGGTGGAATTACACGCACGCTCAGTTCCAACATGGTGAGTTCTCATCTCACCCGATGTTGTAGCTATCAGCAATATGATATCTCATGCCTGCACGGCAATGATGATGACACGGAAAACGACAACAAAA